CGTCTACTATAATTACTAATTCATTGTAAAATAATCAATTTTGAGATACGACACAATATGAAATTTTAAATAATAGAATTGCACACGCGCACTTACACGCACACACATACACACCAAGAGAAGAGCTACTAATTTGTCCGGCTGTAATTGGTCTTGATTAGTGTAGCGATGTTATCGGGGCGATGTCGCAATAGTACCGAAGAGGACGGGCGGCGCGCCGATCCGCAGGGGGCCGCAGGCAAAGAGGGGGACCTTAGGGGGGCCGAGGCTCGCGCTCGCTGGGGCTTCGGGGCCGTGGTGGCGGCGGCGGCGGCCGGCGACGGAGGGGCGCGGCGCCTCGGAATGCCGTCCAGCGCTGCAACATTCCGTAGCGGTTGGTACAGTCGAAGCGGAAAACGGGCCTGTCCGGGCTTCTCTCGGTAGGAGAGAGCCCATTCAAGGGGATCTCCTCGAGAGGGGACTACTACTATACTCTCTCAACGTGTGCCCTTCCCAACCGCCGCCGCGTCGCCGTTCTCCCGAAACGGAGGCCCCCCCGACAAGAAATGGCGGGAAATCAAGAAATGTTTACATTCAGTATTAACAAAAAATTAATAGATAATAAAATTGATACGATAAGGTGATCTAGGTGATTCATTCTTATCTACTCAAGTATGTTAATGTTTATTCTCACTATCAATTATGATAGACAGCTTGGTACCCTTTGTTTCATTTCAAAGTATAACTTTCAACACTTTGATTACTATTTTTTAATAGATCAAATATTCATCATCACAGCGCAAATTTTAAAGTTAACAAACACCGCGAATTTTATCTGGGTGATTTCATTTAAATCAATTGTTTTGTTGCTACTCTTAAAAACATGTTTATACTGCCACATCATCGTTTAGTTATGTTCACAAATGTGGCAATGTGTTTTCCGCATTCTTTCACAAACACCAAAAGTACCTTAACAAATCAAACTAAAAAATAATATTGTGTAAGGTTAAGATAAAAATTCAATTTTTCTTTTTGTGAATAAACAATTCTAACTTGATTAAATCGAATGAATTACTTTATCAATGTTGTTATGCATTGATTCGATTTATTCTCGCGTTCAATTCAATTCTTCGCGGTAATAATCGAACGATGGTTGTAAAATAGATGGACGGACGGATCGATTGGAGTTCTTTTCGCACATCCACAACAATCGAACGCAATTAATCACGCCATTCTACTCTCTTATTATCGAATAATAAGCATAATTAAATTTTGCGCGCCCTCTCTCCTTTATACCGAGAATATCGCGAAATCAACGCGTGTACTGCACGCGATTATCGCCTCTTTTTACTCTCGCCTTTCGACGAAGACGCCATGTGAATTAACATTCCGACGCGAAATGGCGCTTAATTATGAGAATATGCTGAATTGCTGTGTTTCGTTATTTTTACTTTGATACGTTTTATCATAGAGTTACGTCATTGTTAGATGTATAAAGAGAGCATTGTATTTGTGAATTATTTACATTTTGATAAGAACAAAAAAATCTCTGTGGTGTTGAGAATGATTTATAAAATTGTATTTAAATGTTTTTAATTTATACTATTAATAATTGGACATCACTTGACTAAGCGACATTTTATCGTTTTTAGAGATTTTCATGCTGTCTAGGTAGGTATATACTTATCTTCAAAAAGTTCGAACTTTCAACGTTTAATTTTGACATATTTGTCAACTTCATTAAAAATCCTTTAAAATGAGTCCAAACTCGACATATTTAACTTTGATATTAATGGAGATACAATCACTTCCGGTTTGACACGTCAAAGTCAATTTTGACATATTTGTCATCTTCATTAAAAAACCTTTAAAATGAGTCCAAAGATGACGCACTTATCTCAAAAAACAAAAAAGTTAGAATAAAAAACATTAAACCCGAAGTTAGCAACAATGAAGATAGCAATTTAATTTTTAAATATTAATACCAACCTTAATTTTTTATTTTTTTTTATTATATTTTTGTTTTTGTGACAAATATTAAGACATTTTATAAAAATTAAGAATATGTCAAAATGACATTGACATTTCAAACCGGAAGTTGCTTATATCTCGAGTAATATTGGAATTAAACGTATCATGTTTGGACTCATTTTAAAGGATTTTTCACGACGATTACAAATATGTCAAAATTGACGTTGACATTCTTAACCGGAAGTTGACCATAACTTCATTAATATTGAAGATAAATATGTCGTGTTTGTACTCATTTTAAAGGATTTTTAATGAAGATTACAAATATGTCAAAATTGAGGTTGACATTTTAAACCTGAAGTTAGTTATCATATAATATAAGTTTTATAATCGAAATTAATCTAGTGTTAGCCACTTTTTCGCACTTTCTTTTTATTTTTAAAGCGTTATTTGGGCCATTTCATTGATTAAAAAAAAATTGTCGATTTTTAAGCCACATGATGAGTTTCTTAATACTTCTGTTGTTAAAAAAGAGCGTTCTTAAATTTTAACCTCTAAACTTGTAACACTTCGTCCTTAATTTCATTTTACAACTTTTTAAACTTTAATTTTGTAAATTTGTAACTAATAATCTGATTTCGACTTTGATATGTGATCTTTTTTAACAAAAGAAAAAAAAAATATTAAGAAACTTGTTTGTAAAATGGATAGTATGAGGGATGTTAATCTATTTGAAGAGTCTCTGAAGATGGCCAAGGGCCGAAACTAGTTAGACTTAAATTCTATATAAAATAGAAACCAGTTTAAAAGTACAAAATCAAACTCTAGATCATTTTCTTCGAAAATTTTTACACGAAGTATCATTTTTTGACTCTAATATTTGTTATTAAATTTATGCCACGACTTACAGAAACGTCCTGTATAATCGTAAAACGACTGACCAAGCGGATTCTGTGCTTATGATGGCTGTCATCAGTGTTCTGTGATAAAATATAATGTCTTATATTTTTAAAGAGATGAAAACGAAAATCCCGTTTTTCTCAACATTGTTCATTTGTCGCTTAGTCAAGTCCAATTAATATATTAATGCAGTAAAATGCAACATAGCGTAACTACCCAATGCCTGGGGTAGTTTTGCAAAGGAAAAATTTTGCTTGGAAAAGGTTTTAAGAGACGTGCAGCTAAACCAGAATGTTTTACACTTGCAGTGTCACTAGAAGACCTAAAACTAGAATCATTCGGGTTTAGCCGTCTTGAGAGACGTGCGGCTAACTCCGAATGTTTCTAGTTTTAGGTCTAATGTTAGTTCTAGTGACAGCAGTAGTAGTTAGCGCTAGTTAGCATAAGATGTTGTATATTTTTATTTAACTAACACTAGACGTAGAACTAGAAACATTCGTAGAACTGTTAGTTCTAGTTTTACACTAGCACTGTTACTATGTAGAACTAACACTATACCTAGAGCTAGAATCATTTGGGTTTAGCCGCAAGTCTCTAAAGACGGCTAAACCCGAATGATTCTAGTTCTTGGTCTAGCGCTGCATAACAATTAAAAGTAGGTCTAGTGTTAGTTCTAGTTTTAGCTCGATAAAAATATGTAACATAGTAATATTTTATGCTAACTAGCGTTACCAACCACCTGTCAGCCGTGTTAACACGTTGACTGCCATGAGAAGCGTAACTTGATGCACGGCAAAATTTCCACAACAGTCACGAGAAGCACCAGTTGATTCTCATGAGTATTTAATTTTAATTTGTTCCGGCCAGAATGGATAGACTTTCAGTGACTATTGCAGCAGTCAACGTGTTAAGAGAGGTACCGCTAAACAGAATGTTTCTAGTTCTAGGTCTAGTGTTAGTTCTAGTGTAAGTCTACTTTTATGTTATTCATCAATTATATATTTTCATATATTGCAACTTAAGTAAAATTCATTGCATATAAAAATTCTTGATATACGAGTTTTAGATTTTGCGCAATAAATTTAACGTTAGGCCATCGACTTTAGCGCAGAGTATATGTGTGTGTGTCTTTGTGGGTTCGTTCGCGTACGTTTCCGTGTGTGTATGTCGCGCACGTTCTTGCGACCAGAGAGTCATTGTTTAGTTTGGAAAGCGGGCATTAGTCAACATAATAGATCGATTGGGCAACGCCGCATTCCAAGCCGCGTTATATCACATTTTCTAGCGCCGGAGCCATCAGTCAATGCGGTTCCGATTGCGTTACGAACGACGGTATTTAAATGCCAACCACGCGGCCCCGCTTGTGCTCCTTTAAAAAAAAACACCGACAACACACAGCGACCGAGAGAACCCGGAGTCTTTCGCTATAAACGAAATCGTATATGGAAACAGTTCATAAATATTTCAATATTTCACTTTATAACTTTGCTTATATGATATTCCTGAAGATAAACTCAAATTCGAAATCAGTAAATCTATTTCCAGCAAAAAGTCATTAAATAACGGGTAATAAAATAAATAGAGATTTGATACAGTGACAATTACAAAGAGAAAATAATAAAGATTTACAGTTTAAAAATAGCGTTTTCACCACATTACAAGATTTTATTGGTTTAAAGACAAGTTAAATGGTACCTTACTCGATCTAAAGAAAAATAACGCAACAAAACCGCAAAAAACGCGAGAGATATAAGGTAGTAAAAACGTATAAAGGAAAGAAATGGAAATAAAAAAATGATGTCTTCTCCTAAAAGCGCTACCGAAGAAAATTTTTGTTATTATTGTTCGACGACGACGTGTAGTTATTACGTAAAGGGTTAACGCCCGCGTTAAACATAATGGCACGATCATTTCTAATCGAAACGAACGAAACTTCTCCAAGGCGATTTTCCGGAACGCCTTTAACGGAATACGAATGGACATTCTCGCGTGTTGAGCGCGATTTATCTGGCTACAGCGATTCGATGTCCCTTTCTAAATTCTTTCGGTAAAGATGGAAACATACATTGGAAGGTGTGGTTTTATATTTCAAATCATTAAAAAAAATCAATAACTAACTTGTATTAGGCTATTTAAGATTACTAACTTACCACAGATGAGTGCTAGACCAAAGAGGTCGGTATCGAGCATTCCCTGTTGGGCGAAGTGATGACATGTTTGCTGGTAAAGTTCGCGAACCCTGCTCTTAACTTGTACGATAAAGTAGAGCGTTTGCTGGTGCAGCAGGTGGAGCGCCAAGAAGCGGGCCGCCGGTGGTAGCGTTGCTACGGGGCTGCACGCGGCCAATGGGGCGCTCACCGTACACAAGCCGGGGCGCATGACCCGCGCATCTCAAATGGGGGGCTCTTCTCGCTCACCTAAATACCAAATAAACATAAACATCGTTTTATGATACAATAATTTTAATTACTACTATTAATTTTAATATGTCACTTTAAAATTAGTAATAGAAATAAACAGATGGCGCTATCTCACATATAATTTGACAAATACATAAAATACTCTATAGACCTAGATTTTAATTGGAAGTCGTATAAAAAATAAATCTCTCCCAGATATTTTATCAATTAAAAACATCATCATTATAATACCATATAAGAAATGACATATATTTTTAACTACTTAAACTTTCACTAATTGATAAACTAACATTAATTAACTTTGAGGACTTTTAAAGAAAAAATAAATTATAATCAAGAAATGAGAATTGAATACGTGCTCAACGACTCAACGTTGTTCGGTAAACCATTAAATAGTATAAAATTAAGTTCGATTCGTTGACAAGAATAACTTTAAATAAATCAGTCGTAATACTTGTATCTGTGGATTTTTACTAACAACTTAAACATAACAGTAAACTGTTACAATACTTATGATTCTAAGAGGAACGATAAAGATTGTGGTTAGGAATGATGTTGAAGATGATGTTAAAGGATGTGAAAAATGTCGAATCAGATACTGATGGAAATTGAATATTGGAAACTGTTTGGGAGGATGTTGAGAGATGTCCCAAAAAAATTTGACTATAATATCTAGAATGGTATAATAAGGGCTCAAATTTGACTGCTGTCTAAGACGAGGTTGAATCCCGTCTACAATGATGTTAACTGTTATCAGGGGCAATATTGTATATTAAGAGATATCAAAAGCAACAATGATTGTTGCAGAGAACAATGTTGAGCGCTACCAGGGATTATGCCTAGAACGATTTGAACTATTAATATTAAGATATGATTGGAAGCAACTGGTAGGTTGTTGGGAGATGTCAAAGACAACAATGAGTGTTGTTAAAAACAATGTTGGGGGCTACCAAGAATGATATTTTCTTTATATTTACTGTTATCAAATAAACAACATTGGGAGATGTTTAGGAGAATATTACTAGTTGAGTTGGGTTACAAGAGATGATATTGAGTGCCAGCTACATTGAGAGTTGGGTTGGATCTGATTACACACCCAGAAAACTATATTGTTAGTAAAATTTTTTTATTAATAAATTATTCTTTTAAGAGAACACATCATCAGAAAAAAATTTCACGTGTCTACAACAAATTCTACTAAACTAAAATAAACGTATAGTGGGCGAATGAATTAACACCATTCAACGTTTTGTTTCCACAAGAACCTACACATTTAAAACCGATCGTACGTATTTCGAATTAATAAAGTCAACATAAATCTTCGCCGCTGCGTAGATTTCACTGTTTTTGTAATGTACACATCGTATCTTTTAAAGGTTATTTACGTTTACACATATTTGTCGCCAACGTTTATTTATATGCTTATTCCTGTATGTGTTCAAACCAATTATAAATTTTTTATTAACATATTATGGATAATTGTAGAATCTCTTACTTTTAAAATTGACCATGAATCGTATGGTGTTAAAATAAAATGAAACAGGAAGTTATTATCTGTTACTGTGGTGTTTAATTAAAAAGTTTTTACGATCAAATAATAATAGAATTTCTATTTTAATTAAAGGTTAATTATTATAATAAATATAGGTATTGAGAAAAAAAAATGATTAACTGGCGACAATAATAATAATAAGTACTTAATTTAACTATCAATCATAACGGTCAATAATATGTTTAACGAGCTGTAACAATTTTCTTCTATCAATAAATAATTAGTTTCAGTTATTTATTGTATTTATGTGTTCAATCTGCGACGTCTCAATGTCGCAAATTTAATAGCTTAACGTTTATACATTTTTTTTTACTTAATTGGAATCAAAACATTTAACCAATTAAAAAAATTGCGGGTTTAATTGTAAAAACTTATTTCTAAGACAATTGCATCTGAATAAAGCTGTAAATTTGGTCTTTGCTAACAAACTTGGGGATTAATTAAAATTATAGTGACGTAGTCATTTAAATCAATATGTCATAGGATTCCGTAACGTTACAAAGAAGAGACAGACCACCACTGGTCACTTTTGCTTATTTGCGAATTGAATATTCATGAGATTGTTACTTGTTGCTTTAATAGCCTCTCTACAGTTTACACACTCCAAGCGAAGACCACAAAAAAAGATATTTTCTAGATCGCAGCGAATAATTAAAAAAGGAAAGAATTTTAAATTATATATTTCTTTAGTTTTAACACATTTGCATACTTGATCACTTAGGTTGTATGCTTTAATAATTACTAAATTAATCACTCAATGTAAAACAGTTTACAAGTACTAAGGATTAACGTTTCTTTTTGTTCGATTCGTTTACTTCATGAATCAGCAGATTATTAATTTTAATTAAACTCTAAATTAATGAATACGAAACTATTCCTTTTATTGATTCTTTTATTTCGAATTTGTTTCATTAATATTTAATAAGGAAAAATAAAATAAAAATTTCGTTACAAAATACTACTATGTATATAATTATGCGGAGTGTTTCCAACGTTTTAAATAACATGTTAAAATATATAAATCAAAATATACAGGGTGATTCACATAAGAACCGACACAGAGCAAGGACATGTAGAGGACAATAAATTAAGATGATTTAACGCAACTTATCTCTATACCAAGTTGGGTCTTAAATTTTTAAAACAATGAATATCTTCGTAATACATTAAGCTAGAAAAACCAAATTTGGTATACGTTATGAGTGTACCGAGGGTATTAATTGGTAGCAAGTTGAGACCAATTGAGGCATTTCAAAGGGTTGATTAAGGGTGATGGTTCCCTAAATTTTGGCAGATTTTTTTAACCTTTTTGTGGATTTAATACATTATTACCTCATTTCATGTGGAATTTAATTCTAAAACTTTTTTTACTCTTACTATTTTTTAAAAAACATTGTCGTTTTCATAAAAAACTCAAAAAACTAAAGACGCGTATCTTGTTAATGCTACTTAAAATCATCGAAAATTCAGTAGTCGGCTGTGAAATTGTACGTAATTTGAGGAATAAACTGTTTATTATGAGCTAAAAAGACATCATCCATAAACAAATTTAGTTTAGGCATAATAATTTTCTAGTGATAAAGAGAAAATCCCCAAAATGTCAAAATTAAGTACTTTTGGTTTTAAAATCGATCATAACTCAAGAATGAAAGGTGATGACGAAAAGTTTTTTAGGAATAAATTGTTTATTATGAACTAAAAAGATATTATTGATAAACAGATTTTGTTTAGATGTAATGATTTTCTAGTGATAAAGAGAAAATCCCCATAATGTCAAAATTGAGTACTTTTGTTATCAAAATCGATCATTACTCAAAAATTAATTGTGATGGAGATAAGTTTTTTTGAAATAAATTGTTTATTATGAACTAAAAAGACATCATCCATAAACAGATTTGGTTTAGTTATAATGATTTTCTAGTGATAAAGAAAAAATCACCAAAATGTCAAAATTGAGTACTTTTGGTATTAAAATAGATCATAACTCAAAAATTAAAGGTGATGGAGAAAAGTTTATTTGAAATAAATTGTTTATTATGAACTAAAAGGACATTACTCATAAACAGATTTGGTTTAGTTATAATGATTTTCTAATGATAAAAAGAGAAAATCATCGAAATATCAAAATTGAGTACTTTTGGTATTAAAATTGATCATAACTCAAGGATGAAAGGTGATGGAGAAAAGTTTTTTAGGAATAAGTTGTTTATTGTCAACTAAGAAGACATCATCCATAAACAAATTTAGTTTAGATGTAATGATTTTCAAGTGATAAAGAGAAAATCCCCAAAATGTCAAAATTGGGTACTTTTGGTGTTAAAATCGATAATAACTCAAGAATGAAAGGCGATGGAGAAAAGATGAAGAAAACCTTGTCGTCAAATAACTTTATAACTTTGTCGTCAAGTTTGACGTACAATTTCATAGCCAACTACTAAATTTTCTCTTATTTTAAGTAACATTACGAAATACGTGTCTTTAGTTATTTACGTTTTTTATGAAAACGACAAAGTTTTTTAAAAAATAATAAGTTTTAGAATTAAATTCCACATGAAATGAAGTAGTAATGTATTAAATCCGCCAAAAGTTTAAAAAATTTATCCAAATTTAGGGTACCATCACCCTTAATCAATCCTATGAAATGCCTTAATTGAGTTCAATTTGCTACCAATTAATACCTGTGGTACACTCATAACGTATACCAAATTTGGTTTTTCTAGCTTAATGTATTACCAAGATATTGAACTTTTTAAAAATTTAAGAGCCAACTCTGAAGGCCTGTAACTCCTGAGGTGTACAACTTAGTATAGAGGTAAGTTACGTTAAATCATCTTAATTTATTGTCCTCTACATGTCCCTGCTCTGTGTCGGTTCTTATGTGAATCACCCTGTATATCATTTCCTTTAATTAATGGTGTTACAAAATAATTACACTTTAAATTGACTTTAAATTGATTGAAAAGATTTCCTTGAAATAAATTTTATGGGAATTATTTGAAACTTTCTGGAAACACAAAAAAAATCCATGCAGATGCATAACATCAAGAAATCTTTGTTAATCTTTAGTAATACTTGAAAATCTCCATAAATATATTTGTGTCCTAATACATTTTTCAGAAACACCTTGATATTTGAAATAGTAATCTTGAAATCCTTTGGAAACAATTAGAAACTTTTGAGAATCGTTAAGAATCCCTCAATATCTTTGCTAAATCGCATACAATCCCTAAAAATCCTTTGAAATTCCTCCATTCCCCTAGATACCCTTGAAAACACTAAGAAACTGTTTTGAAACCCTTGAAAATGTTTTGTTAATTCCCAGAACTCCCTGATATGTTTTAATATCCTGAATATTATTATAGTAACCATTATATCGATTTTGGTGGAACTGGCTTTTACCTAGAAAACCCTCCACATCACATAAGAATAAAGCAGAACATCCAAGAACAAGTCAAAACAAAATACATTAAATGCACGCAACCTAATCTTTATTAGCTAGCAAATGAATCACCTCAAAACCCTCCTTAACATTCCCAACACTCTTATTAATCTCCCTCCTACATATTTCACATATTGCATCTGGGTTAGAGTTGCTAATGTGGACCAAATGGGAGAAGTTCTATATACAAAGTGAATATATGTAATTTGCTTTGGATGCAAAGCTGGTAGGAGTGCGAAGAACGTGATAATTAAGGTAATGGATATTGTTGCTGGATAGTTTTTCTGATTGATTTGGTATTAGCGTATGCAAGATTATTTTAGAGATAATAAAGTAGTAATTCAATTGGAGCAACGGTGGTTATCTTGGATGATAGGTTGGCAATCGCGGAGATTAGCACTTACTCTAATAGATGTAGTCATTTAATGATATGCTTAATGGTAGAACAGGTTTTTGAAGACTTTTGTCTTAATATTTTCGCAATTCTCGGTATTGTTAGACCCCAGCGAATGATGTGCTGATTACCCAAGCAGTTGGGGTTGTGTGTTCCAACAAACAAGAAAACAAAGAAAGCAAAGTATTAGGAGCACTTCAGGGCATCATATGAAACAACACATAATCAGAGAAACGACTTCTAGAAAGACCTCTAAAGAGATGGATAGAATTATGGACATCAATACCTCAAGAGAATTGATGATTAGGAAATTACAGGCCTAAGGTCTACAAAATGTGGAATAAGAAGTCCTAGAAGGTAGTTGAACAGATAGAAAAGGTGTACTTTTGTTATTCAACGTTGAATAATATCGTTACTGAGTGGTAGATTTTGCAAAATTGGTTTTAGATTTCTTTTTCAGTAAGTGAGTTCAAATAATTTATACCTTATTAAGTACTAGATATAAATCAGCTTCAAAACCGGTTACTCAAATTATTTGATTTGCAAATTAACCGCATTTTATGTTTGACGGTCTCGATTGTAGCGCCTCGGCCTCAAGAAACCTCGACAACTAGATAATTACGTCATTAAAACACATCTTCATGGTTTATACATACAATAACCGATGTTTTCCATTAAAGACATATTAATTAATTTAACCATAAATAATAATAGAGTTTATTTAGTTTAGTATAAAAAACCCAAAAGAAAATAAACTATAGTTTTAATTATATAAATTTTTTAACGTAAGTCTTTACAATACCGTTTTTATAGCGCTTGTTGTTGAATGAAAGTTGTAATAACTCATATTATAATCCATGAAACAACTAAGTAATTGCATAGATTATAGATATTATTTACAAAGTACATTAAAATTGTATTCATGACGTATATACGCACGTGTTAGTCGTTAACGGCGATTTAAATGTATTTTACTGATAACGTGTATTCTCAAATAAAAACAAATTTTTATTTTTGATTTATTTAGAATTTTATGTTATAGGATTGAATTTGTTGGGATAAAGGCGAAAATTGTAAAAGAATAGAAAAAAAAAGTGGGTGATTACGGTTTTAGTAACAGGACTGGATGTGTGTTCTCGTTTTCACGAGAAGCCAATTTAAAACGAAACACACGTTTAAATTTTTTTTAAACTAAAAGAAATAAAAATACAAGAACCGTACCATGTGTTTTGATTAAGAATCCAAAATCACTCGGAATTGCGTACCCATGATGTCTCATTAACTGGGTCCCGACGATGAAACAAACATACTTCCGGTGCGGAATCAATCACAAGATCACACACTGCAGTCAGGTCGTCTCGAGGGGCGCGATGTTTAGCGTTTTAAATTCTAAACCGTAACTTAATCGGCCGATTAAAAAGTAAATAAATAAAATTGGAAGAAAAATTTAAATTAACAACAATTTTATGTGTAACGAAGACGAGTTAGGAGAAGAAATAGAGAAGGGTTTTGGGTGTTTCGTGGGGCGCACGTGTCTCACCGCCTCTCAAACATCAGTCCCGTACACCGGCGTTGATATTTTTCAACTAAACTCTCCAGCCTTCAATTCTAGCGCGGTCAGGTACACTCTTAAGTAAAACATCGTTGGAATGCCAGCGGACCAAACGCGTAGTGGTCGAGATGCGGCGAGTGGGGCGCGCCATGTTAACGATTCAACTGGCTCGTAGGTGTATACAGTCCGGGTGAGAATTTTTCCGATTGCGACGGTATGCGAGCCGCATTTTTACGATTGCGCCGACCCAAGTTACAGACTGTACCGGACTCAGGTGTGTTTGGACGTCCCGCACAGAGGCTACATTCCGACGTTGCCGTCGTTTTCTTCGACGGCGACGTCACGACGCCACCCGTCGTCAATATATTCATTCCATATTTTCTCCAGATAATAACAATCATATTTTAAAATTTAATTCTCAATAAAAATACACTATTTCATTAATTTCTTTCGTGGCGCCAACTAAATTCATTCCAATTAAATTATATATATCCATTCGATTCGCTATGTTATAATTGTATCTATCTTTATCGAACTCGTTTTCCCCCGAAGCTCCAAAAGCAACATTTTGGAATTTTTCTTTTCATTTCCTACTGATATATCTGTGTAAAAGGAAATCTCATATAACTTTATGTTCTTACAAGTAATAATCATATTATGACCACCTTTACAGCTTAATCGCAAATTATCCAATTTCGACTTGATCCAAAAATGTTAATAAATAGAAATTAAAAAAATCCATTCCTTTTTTTATCTTAATTTTTTTGTACTCCATTTGCGCCCTTTAAAGTACAATTTCGTGTCGGCGTTTTTGTTTACGCCGCGCCGGATGATGTATTTCTTTAAATATGCTCGTTAAACGACCGACGCGCGGTGAAGAACTTATCCTTGCATTCCACCGCGATGTGGCATCCCGAAAACGAGCCGCAAGTCATTGAGATTTTTCCAGGAGACGGAATTTTATCCGACTAAATGCTGACCGCAATAGGAATGGGAGGTTATACGCTCTTAGATTCGATATCTTTTTTCACATTCTTAACAACAAACAATTTTTAAACGTTAACTTAATATACCATCTTCATTTTTAATAACAAAATTTTAATTCAATAATTGCAGTATTCCTTAGAATTTGTGTTGTTTCTTCTTGGAAATATCTTGATACGCTATAATTGAATTAATTTAATTCTAATTAAAACATACATATATGGACAGAAATCTTACATCTCATCAACTTTTAAGCTCACCGTATCGCCCTCTTTCATCTCTTTGTATTAAAGAGCACAGAAATCTGTTCGAAATGCTCTTCTTTTTTGTTATATTGAATTATCTTCCTAAAATTAATTAAATTTTATAATTATATGAAAAATTGTAAATTTTTGACGTTTCATATGTCAATTTCTAAAAAGTAATGCCACCTTAAATTGAAAAAAATTATATTTATGGTAATTTAGATTTAAAAGTGTCTCAATACGCAACACTTAAAGTATTTTAACTCCTTAACGCACAAGCCTTGCAATTTTTGATTTAAAAAAAATTTATATTAAGGAGTTAATTAATTTTGTTAAGATTCAATTTTTATGTGCGCCATCTATCCGTAACAATCAATATTTCGCGTGAAATTAGATAAGATATGATATTTATTTATTTATTTTTCATTTCAATTAAAAACTATTTCATTAAATTAAATTTTAATTACTTTGATTTAACATTTTGATGTAATTTAAAAATAAATTCTATTTTACCGTCAATTAATGACATTAAAACATAACCTACAAAAATAACTGATTTGTCAAAACTTAAAATTTTATTACCACTTTTTTTTTAAATATTACATTACAAGATATATTAATTTAGATTTAATAATGGTTGGTGTTGGAAGACCCTACCTGCCGCATGAAGAAAAACAAATCGTTGAATACATATTTGATCATCAAGGTTGTGCCCGATTGAAAGGTAACACTTTTTGGAAGGAAATGGAACCACACATGACCAATCGTACTTGGCAATCATTAAAAGAACATTTCCGTAAAAAGATTTATCCAAAAATAAATTTTCCACGATTTGGATTAACAAGGGAACAAATTAATGAGATTCAGATGTGTTATGATACAAAACGAAAGATTAATCAAAATGAAACTGATCAACCACATGCATTACCAGATTTTTATGATGAAGATAATATGTAGTTTAATAAATAATATTTTTTTGTAATTTTATAGATTATTTTGCTTATAAGCTGTACTTTTTAAGTAGTAATAAATTATTTCTTGGTACAATAAGAATTACATTTTAAATCCCTATAACTTAATTACACCATCCAGAGAATGTAGGGTGTTTTAGTAAAAACTGAAATTGCTAATTAATCATTTTTAGATTTTCAGATAATTGTAGGAAAAATTGATAAAAGAAAACAAAATTAAATAACAGTATCCTTATCTTTTTTATAAAATTAAAAGGGCAAATATCTACATAATGTAATATTCTTACAAGACTAGTATAATTAATTCTAATTCTGTAACTGCTGTAAAGTATCACAAGTATCCATCATAAGTGATGCTAATTCATACTCAATTTGATCTTCATTAAAGCACCTCAAACAATTTGATATTAAAGACTGTATTTTTGGTAATGTACTAGGCGCGCACCAATCAGAATCCTTAAACAAAAATAAATTAAATTTTATACAAAATTACTTTTACAAGTAATGTTCCTACCAATGTACTAATATATTGAGTAACTGCTGTACTAAATGCGGTAATTTTTTCCCCTAAAACTTCAGATAAAGACAATTGATGCTGTAAACGTTTTCCAACAACTTTTAATAATTCAGGACCTAATTTTCCCAAATCAGTAACAGCTAAAATTAATTCTTCACCAAGACTATCAAAACCGTTAATGTAAAGATGCGTTACTTGATACTGTCTTAATTTATCAACCTCCAAATTCCATAATCTTGCTAATTTTATACACCGACCCATCCATGTTATATGATCAGTAAAATAAATATTATCGTCCGAAACCGTTATAGTTTCTATTGTTGCTAAAATTAATTTCATTAAAAAATTCATCCGAGAATTATTCGTTTTCGATTCGGATTTATGCCAAGATATTTCAACTTTTTGTTGCAAATCAATAAAACATAACGGTATCACTAACGGATCAAATAAGTTATTAATAAATTTGGTGTGTTTAATTTGAAATGTTGTCATCATGTATAAACACATACTTATTTGATAGTGTAATAATACTAAGTCGTAATTTGCGTTGGAATGATTCAAAGCTAATTTTGATAGAGGTAGTGTCGTTTCTTCTTCCCAAATTGGTTCGTGATGTAATATTAAATCCTCAGATTCATCGGATTTTTCTAAAGAAATAATGAAACCGTCGAAAAATTCCGTACCAATTTTTGTAAGTTGAGTTATTTGGGTGTCGCTTAACGCCGTATCTTGGCGACATAAACGTTCTTTGGGTAATTTTCCAACTTTATTGATCAATTTACAAACGATTTCAAATAATTGTTTTAAATGGGTGTTCCAAAAAATTTGATAAACTCCCGTTTTAAATTTTGGATTTTTTATTTCCGAGATGCAGCGAATACAAGCTTCTAAAAGATTAATTTTTTCAAGATCTCGTTGCCAAAATATCGCATATTCCCAACACATATTCGCTAAAAGAACATCCGATTCTAAACTATAAGGAAATTGCTTTTTTAAAATGTTAAATTGTTCAAAAATTTTCTCTGACTTAACACGATTATAATCTTCTTCGGAAATACCATAAATTTCAACGTAATTTATATTATCTTTACTTTGATTTTCATCAAAACTATTTAAATTAATAATTTGGTCATTTAACGGTAATAATCTCGGATTTAATCCACTTGAAGTTAACCATTTCGCAACCAATTCACTAACAGATCCTTTCCCCCTTTGCAAAACATACTTTAAACTAATCACTTCTTTTTCATGTTTTAAAATCGGAACGTCGCCAACACTTTTATTCTTTTCATTCGATAAAATTATATTTAACAAAGAAACGTCCTCTAATTTACCAATTAATAAAATCCATTCGCACGCTTCTTTCGAAAGATCTTCCCACACTTCAAAATCATCTTCACTTTTCTCTAATCGCACTTCATCTTCAATTCTTTGAGCAACATTTTTACATATTATGGCAGCCATTAACGCAGGAAATGAACGCGAAGAATTCATTAATATACTACGAATTGTTGCCCAAAATGGAGATATTTGATTATAATCTACAACTACTTCGGTACTAATCGCGTTTTCAGCTAATGCATATACAATTGAGCTGAAATTTTCCATTTGATTTTCTAGGTTTATATCAATGTTTAATGCTCGATTTTCCCAATAAACAAGAAGAAGGTGGAATAAGTCATCTATTAAAATTCTTGATGATTTGAGATTTATCTTAATTAAAAAAAAAACACTCATTATTATTTACATTTTATACAGTTACATTTTATAGGTGACATCATATTTTAAAACTAATTTGGAAAATTTGACGAGCTGGCGACAAAGAATGGAAGGAGTCATGGGACTGAAAGATTTGATGGAGGTGGTGAGGGACGCATTCTGGGAAGGAAAGTGCAGGTAGGCAAGGAGAATATTAAAGCAGTGGCGGAGAGGAGAAGTTCAGGTGGACAGTTATAAGCAGGCAAGAAGAAAGTACAAAGAAAAGGGAGTTGAGGTTGAGGGAGGCAGCAAAAATTAAGGAGATAAGACGGGAAGAGGATGTGTGGAGGTATTTGAAGAAGTTGAGGAAGGGAAAGGAGAAGGTCAGTAACAATTTACAGATGGCAAAATGAAGATAGGCAGGCAGTAGAAGAGGAGACGATCGAGGGGGGTGAGGAGATTACCGAGGAAGAGTTGACAACAGTTGTGAGGAGGAGAAAGGCACCGGGGGAGGATGGGATACAGAACGAAGCATGGTTGGAGGCGACAAGAGAAGTTAGAGGGAAGCTGTTAGAGACGTTGAACAAAGTGTGGAGGGGGAAGGGTTTCCGAACGGTTGGAGGTCGGGTATAATATGAAGTGCACAAGAAGGGAAGTAAGAGAGCAGTGGAGAGATATAGGGGAATCAGCCTACTCAACCCCTCATACCAGATTTATGCGAAGATACTGCTAGGAAGATTGGAGGAAGAGATTGAGATGTTGCCGGATGGACAGGCAGATATTAAGAAGGGTAGAGGGGCGATTGCTAAATTTTGCATCTTAAAACATCTGGTGAATAGAGAGTTGGACAAGAAGGGAGGGAAGTTGTATGCCATAAATTTGAAGACGGCATTCGATAAGGTGAATATGGAGAAGTTGTGGGAGAAGATGAAGAGGAGGGAGTCACGGAGGAGCTGAGGAGGAGGGTAAAGGTGATATACAAGGAAATGAGCCTAGAGTTAGAGTAGCGAAAGCGATGACCGTTTTGGACAGGGAGGGGTCTGAAACAGGGGTGTCCACTGAGCCCTAGCCTTTTTGCTCTGTATACGGCGGATTTGGAAGGCAGGTTGGAGAAGGGGCAAATGGGAGGAGTGAGGGAGAAAGGTTCACGTGCTAGCGTACGCGGATGACATGGCGGTTGGGTTGGGTTGTGGCGAAAATAAGACAGTTGGTGAGACACTTAAAAAGGTATTTCAGGGCGAAGGGGTTGGAGGTAAATGCAGCAAAGACAAAGATGATGAAGTTTTGCAAAGGGGGAAGAAGAAAGAGGGTGGAGATATCTGGGGTAAAGGTTCTGGGAGGATACCAAGGAGGGAGTACATGTGAGGGAGATTGCTAAAAGGGCGATTAAGGTGATGGGGCAGGTCTGGGGAAAGATTATGTTTGATGTGTTGGTGGGGAGTGCAATGATGTACGGGGGTGGAAGTTTACGGAATGGAAGAGACAGGATATTTTGGAGGACGTACAGAATCGGTACTGGAGGTGGGTTCTGGGTCTGGAGAGAGAAACACCGGGGTGTATTGTGAGGGAGGAAGTGAAGGTGGATGAAATGAGGGTAGAGGCGGGCAGAAGAGCAGTTAAATATGAAGAAATGATAGATAGAAGACCATACTGCGGGATCCAGGGGGAGTATTGGAAGGAGGTTAGGGAGGGGAAGATTAGATATGGTAAAGGAGAGGCAATATTATAAAAGGACGGGTTATTTGGAGATAGAGGTAAATAACAAAAGAAGGGAAGGGGCGATGATGTGGGGAGAGGTAAGTGACAGGGATAGGGACGTCCAAAGACAGGAGAGAAGGGCGCAGATAAGAGAGGGAAGATACAATGAAAGATATGAGGACATAATGACGGAAGGATTTCCAAAATACTTGATGAAGGGAGTGAAGAAAGGAAGAGGCTGATGGCCAGATTCCGTTGTGGTAATGAGGAGAGAGCGAACAGATAGTGGGCGGACGATGTGGAGAGTTGGTGTCGGCTGTGCAGAGCGAGCTGAGAGAAGAGGAAAGGAACCGTAGGCAGTTTCTGGAAGAGGGGGGAGAAAGCTGGGGATAGATGAGGGAGGTGGTTATTAGGGGAAGTTGAATTTGGTTTGTCATATACAGGGTGTCTCACGTAACTGGTTCGTAACGTCCGGTCTACCGGAAGTAGACCATAACTTCGTTATTTTAAATAAGACGCTAGGGTTTTTATTGCACCGTTTAATTGTACGTAAAAAAAATATGTTGACTTTCATAAAAATTATTCGTTCATTCAAAAAAGCTCTAAATTGGCACGATTACTCTTTAGATGCTGTCAAATAGTTTGTATGTCATTTATTGTATCTGAGTATCTTACACAGGTTGGTCAAAAATTGTATTATTTGATTGTTTCTCCATATTTAATGGAGCGAAAGTCGAAAATTTAAATGGAATTGTAGTTTGTCTCATATTAGGAAATTTGTTAAAACATGCACGAAATGCATGTTTTCTTATTAGAAAGCTATGGAATTTTGACAGTTTTTGGTCCATGTTTGTATTATTGTTGTCATTAGTTACATTTGACGACGGGTGTAAGTCATTGGACATCATGGCAGATTATTCCAACGCCGATATTTAAAATTTATTTTGTATTGATGGCGAGTCTGACTTAACGAGAGATGCCTAAAAAACCTAACGCCCATCACAAGGTAAAATTTCAAAAAATTGATAAAGATTTTCTTAGTTCTGGACATATTGAGACCAAAAGAAACCGCATATTTCCGGTCACCAGTGATTCAAATTCAAGTTAATAACAAATTTATATTGTAAATTTATATTTTTATCCAAATCTAATTTTTGTCATTAATTTTTTCTTTTAATTGTTTCATTTATTTGATCTTCTGTTTATTATTTTTGGTAAGTAAAAGCTAGTAAACTAAAACATTATTAATCGTAACTAATTAATAGAAATAAATTAAAAAAAACTATCAAAATGTCATGGCGATCTAATAAAAATACAAATGATTTCCTGTATTTCCTGCATGTTTTGATAAATTGTACTAATATGAGAGAAACTACAATAAATAGGTATAAAAATGTTTATAGACAAATTGTAGAAAATTAAATTCCCTTTCGGGTAAGCTAATAAAAGCTTTTCCACTTTTTTGCGGTTGAATATGGAGAAACAGTAATACAATTTTTGACCTTCCTGTATAAGATACTCTGATACCATAAATGACAATGTATTTGACAGCATCTAAAGAGTAATCGTGCCAATTTAGAGCTTTTTTGAATGAACGTTGGCTGGGATATGGGGTTTTCAAGAGCATGGTGAAATTTGCCAAAAAAAAAACTTAAAATCAAAATAACTCGAAAACGAAAGACGCTAGGTACCAATAACTTTCATGGAAATCAACATAAACTGACCGGCAAAAAAAACCGGCCACTAAAATTTTGCCACAATTTCAAAGCTGGGTTTCTCGCGAACCACTCATTCGATTTTGATGATTCCTTTTTTGATCGAAAGGTTGATTCTTCTGTAATAATTCTGAGATAGAAATTTTTATTCGGATATTAATTTGAGCATATACGGGGTGCAAGAATGAGAAAAGCATTTTTTCTCGAAATTTGTAATACCCTGTGGGGTGCAGATGCTACAGCAGAGGGTGTTAACTGGAATCAAACGGTAACCCAATCTTTTCTGAACATTTTGTTTTTTTATTCTCTCTATTATCTCTGTTACTAACGAAGATGCAGTGTTTTAAAGCGAACGCCTGTGAAAACAAGACAAACAAGCATACAAAATCTAAGGTGGCGCGCTAGGTAGCGTATGTCAGTTGTTTCGAATAGTAAATTGACAGTTGTCAAAGATGGCGTTGTCAATAACTGATGTTGCGCGTATTATTAGTTTAATTGAAGACGGCAAAAATCAGCGGTACATTGCCCATACGTTGGGTATACCCCGAACAACAGTTCAGGATGCCTGGAACCGATATGTGGAAACAGGAAATTTTACTAGGCGGCAAGGTTCCGGTAGTAGACGAGTGACAACAGCAGTTGATGATCGATTTATTGTGCTAAACACTCTGAGGAATCGTAGAACGACTGCTGTAGAAACTCGGCATCGTCTTCAAATGGTGCGTGGGGTTGACGTAAGTGAAAGAACCATTCGTCGAAAACTTGCTGAAAGTGATCTAACTGCAACAAGACCTGCTAAAAGACAGCGGCTGCTCCAGAGACATCGGCGAGCACGTCTTCAATTTGGGCGCCTACATACTCATTGGGAAATGGAGCAATGAGGCAAGGTGCTCTTCACTGACGAGTCCCGAGTCCCCATTTTATTGGTGACGGATTCATGCTAATGCACAATGCGTGGCCGTACGTAGCACGTGTGGTTAGCGAATATCTTGATGAGGTAGGGTATTGAACGGATAGAGTGGCTAGCGTGCAGCCAGGACCTTAACCCTAACATCTTTGGGACCAACTTCAGAGACGCATTCGTCGTCGTCCTGTCCTACCGGACAACCTTCAGGAGTTACGAATTGCTCTTGAAGAAGAGTTTACCGCAATTCCTCAGGAATCAATTACGAACCTAATCAGTTCGATGCCGCGTCGACTACATGACGTTATTTTAGCTCGCGGGCGATCGCTTTAAAATACTGCATCTTCGTTAGTAACAGAGATAATAGAGTGAATAAAAAAAGAAAATGCACAGAAAAGATTGGGCTACTGTTTGATTCCAGGTAATACCCTCTGCTGTAGCAGCTGCACCCCACAGAGTGTTACAAATTTCGAGAATAAAAGTTTTTCTCATTTTTCTCACCCCGTATATGCTCAAATTAAAATCTGAACGAAATTTTCTATTGCAGGATTATTACAGCAGAATCAACCTTTCCATCAAAAAAAGAATCATCAAAATCGAATGCGCGGTTCGCGAGAAAGCCAGCTTTGAACTTGTGGCAAATTTATAGTGGCCGGTTTTTTCTGCCGGTCAGTTTATTTTTTTACGTACAATTAAAAGATGTAAGAAAAATTATAGCATTCCGTTTAAAATAATGATATGGTCTACTTCTGGTAGACCGGAAGTGGCAGCTATTTTGAAAATATTTTAGATCGAAAGTTCCAAATAGTGGAACCTAAAAAAGTTCTAATGAACCAGTTACGTGAGACACCCTGTATTGTAATGGAAAAGATTGTAAATTTTTAGTTGACAAAAAAAAACTCTTTACATACATATTTATACATATTTTAAAACTATAAACGGAATTGGTGATGATAAAGATCCAGAGCTTGACAAATAGTGGTGGTGATTGATATTTTTAAAATATGACATCACAGCTAATTGTTTGGTTATAACTTACCTTTAAAATAGAAGAATCAAAATGATGTAAAACATATTTTTCAAAAATAACCTTAGCAGTTTGAAAAATTAACGTTTCCTCAACATCCGTTTTTAAAGATATATGCTCGACATCGTTTAAGTTAAAAATTTTAATAAAATTACTTAAAATATCGTGCCCATTATCTTGAAAGCTCACTTTTAACACTGGACTTTTAAAATTATTAATCGTACTCAAATCTAATAATTTTTGTAAATTCGCCATATCTTTTTCGCTTAAAACTCGTGTTGTATCGACAACTTTTCCTGAAGACACATTATTTCCATTATTATCTTCATCGTTATTATTATGAACGAACACAAAAAAATTCACTAAAGAACATAAATTCTCGCAAAGAATCTTGAGAGATTTTAAATCTGGTTCTAATTCGGCTACATTATTAACGCTGATTTTTTCAATGAAATAATTGCAACATTTAAAAATAATTTCCGGAAACGTCGATTTATTATTACTTAAAAACTCAATCAATTGAAGCTTTACTTCCGCCGTTTTTAACTCTGAACAAGTATTAAAACACTCCGTCAATAATTCTTCTTCGTTATAATTCCCCGTTTTCGCAAATTGTTTTAATCTTTTATACAAATGCATATCTCGCGCTCGTTTACTATTACTTTCAGATAACGCGAAATGAAACGGAATTATAATTTCTTTTATAGAACCATCAGGATCGATAAACGTTGTCGCATATTGACAAATAAATCTCGATTTCGACATCGATTGAAATCCCATTAAACCATAATTCGCGTAAAGTAATTTGCTATTTTTCGAAGCGGTAAATGTCGCTATCTTCGTGCCTAATTGGGTTAAGAATATTTCTAAAGTTCCTTTTTTGGGTGAATAAATTATTAGGAATAAAGCGATCGCTTTTGTACGAGATTTTGATTTTCTTTCATCAGGGACTTGAATGAATGCACATTGCGCTTCACGGTAACCTTTAAATATTCTTAATGCAATCCCTTTATGGGTATCTACTAAAATAACTCTTCCTAAACTATCAGAAATTGCAGCTAATTTTTTATCAGGCGATAAAATAACATTTGTTGCAACTCGACGTAAATCACAAAGACCAAATCTACAGGCCATTGATTCTGATGGCAGTAATGTTACTGAAGATTGCTTATCTACGGTAGTTTTTGTACCAGTAAGCCATCCTCTAATTTAAAATTAAATTATAATCAAAAATTTGTTTTCTTAGACACCTTTTGTTACTTACGGTAAAGCAGATTTAACTTTATTAGCTAAAGCTTTTGCTACATCACTTAAAACAGGTTGAGCTCCCCCTTCTAATGCATAATGAAAACCAACATATGGTTTATTACCAACTCCAATAACCAAGTTATTATTAGGTGGTACAGCCCTATACTTTGTATCAAATCCACCACAAGTAGAAGCTGTTAAAAGATGATCAAAAGTGTTTGATAAATCTAACCCAACAACAGAAGCATCAGCAACATTATTTTGTTCGATAAAACCCCACTTTTTTGGATTCATCGCTATATTCAAAGCCTCTGAAGGTGATGATATATTTTTAACTCCTTTAGCCAAATAACTTCTGCAATTTCTTAGTGTTACAAATAAATTTTGACCATTAATAACACAAATGTTAGTTGAATATTGAACATAAATTTCTTCTGGTTTTAAATCTCCTGTAATATCCGGTCTGGGGCTATGTTGAGATTGACATTTAATGCTGATTACAGCTTCATTATGAAATTGTTCTTCTAATAAAAGCATGCAATCTTCTGTGTAAAATCGAATATAACCCGATTGAAATCCCACAGCTATACATGTCCAATCGGGCCCTACCTAGAATTAAATTAATTTTAATTTCATCAATTTTACTTTAAATTAATAGCTTACCTGTGAACTAGTTTGTCCATGTGACACAACTGGCAAACACAAAACGGACGTAATAACATCATTTTGATCATTCTTCAAAGAACAAGAATCATAAAAATTTGTTAAAGAACTACCAGCGTCCCATTTTCCAGTCAAAACAAGCAGTCGTTTATCATGCGCGAGTATTAAAAGATCTCCGCACGGCGATAAAGAAATTTCGCACGAATTTAACCAATTTTCGCCCCCTTTTCAGTAAATAAAAGTTGATTAGACCAAATTTGATTCTTAAACAATATGGTACATACCGTTTGTCGATTCGAATGGAAACAATATTGTTCTTATATCTAATTGATTTACTATGTTTGCACTTAATTTTATTTGGCAAGCCATAATAAATTTTACGGTTGACAAACTAATTTTAACATATTTTCAAGGATTTCATAAACAATGCAAGAATACTATTTTGGCTATTTTGACATTAATGACAGATGTTTAGGAAAACGTTCAAAAATAATATAAATGTAAATTATTAAATTAATTGAATTAATAAATTATAATGTTTTATAATGTGATTGATTATATAAAAATGTTTTTTATAAAAAGTAAATAATCATCGAAAAAACATCCGGATCCATTCCGATATTAAATTTGAATAATTTATTTTAAATCATTCATAAATAAGTATGAAACGGTTATTATTTCATAAATAGACCAATAAACTATGTAATTAAACATAAATAATTTATTATTTAAACAAAATTTATTTTTATTGTATTTGATTGACAGTTGTAGTAACATGTGTCACCGTTAGATAACGCCACATAACATAGCCTATAATTTATGCAGCTCACTCTTAACTATTTTTTAATCAAACGGGGGTGTTTTATTACTTTATTCTACAAAATTGGCTTCACTTTACGCTAAAGTAAGTTCTAAATCGTCTAACAATCAATTACCAACAACACATTCATCATTTTAATTAATTTTAATCAGTTACAAAACTCATTTTCAATTTCACAATGTGACAGTACAACTTTTTAAATATTTATTTATACATTCAATTTATTTATCAATTTCAGTATATTCACTTAAAATTTGCAATTTGTAACCTTCATCATGTCTGAGTTGATAAGCACTTTGGTTGACATGGGTTTCAGCGAAGCTAAAGCGTACGTAAAAATTGTATTATTTTATTGTTACTTTATTGATTTTTTATTTTTAATAGTAAACTAGCTATAGAAAAAACGGGTAGTACAGATATACAAGAAGTAATGGAGTGGATATTAAGTAATAAAGAGGAACCTGATGACCATCGAGAAACTCCCGAAGCTGGTGAGGTTCCTGATTCAATTTCAACACAAGAAATTGTAAAAAAGGAAGAGGAAGAAGAGCAGGTTCAAGCGGCGAAATCAATTAAATGTGAAGAATGTGGGAAACTATTTAAAACTCAAGAAGAAGTTGAGTTCCATGCTGTTAAATTTGGCCATGGAAAATTTAGTGAATCTATGGATGAAAAGAAACCGTTATCTGAAGAAGAGAAAAAGGAGCAATTAGCTCGTATTGAAGCAAAGCTAAAACAACGTAGGTTAGAACGTGAAGCGAGAGAAAAACAAGAAGAATTAGAAAGAGAAAAGAATCGAATTCGATCTGGTAAAGAAATGTTGGAGGCAAAAAAGCGACATGAAGAAATGGAAATTAAAAAGATTGTGGAACAACGTAAAAAAGAGAAGGAAGAGGAACGTTTAGCAAAACAGAGAATAAGAGAACAAATTGAGCAAGATAAATTGGCTAGGAAAGCTAAATTTGGGGGACAAGTTGAGACTCCTGCTGTAATACCTCAAACCCAGCCAATTACTCAAGCCACACCAACTCAACAAAATTACACAGATGTTCGATTACAAATTCGATTAACAAATGGGGGCACTTTAACACAAACTTTTAAAGCCACTGAACCTCTACAAGCTGTTAGGTTATACATTGAACTGAATCGTACTGATACTACCGGGCCCTTTTCATTAATGACTAATTACCCAAGGAAGATTTTTGAAGCGGAAGATTATGAAAAACCTTTAAGCTTATTGGGTAAATAAAAAATAAACGATTTAATTTTTGTATAAATTTTTTATTTTTAGGTTTAGCACCGTCCGCTGTTATTATAGTATCCAAAGTTCAATAATTAGTCATTGGGGAAAATTAAGAAATTTCGTCCTTAATTAAAAAAATTGTTTTTTTACGCATATTTATATAAAAAAAATATAAGACAACTTTACTAAAAGTGCTTATAACTATACATGTTTGTAATTTTGACGCATTTAGAAGATATGGAAATATAAATAACTTACTAAAATAAAGCTTTGTTTTTATTTTATTTTTAATTACCAATACTTATGTACAATACAGATTTTTTTAATAATTTTAAATAATAATTTCAGTATCGCCTAATTCTTCATCAGATGGTAACTGAATTTTCTTGGGATCAACCAAGTTTGCATCAACCAAAGGTAATCCTAATTTCTCCCTACGACGCAATTCCAAAAATGCTTCCCTTTGACTCCAATCTCTCAAGTTATAATCTGGTGTATAAGCCCAGAAGAAACCCCCGAAAACTAAACAAAGTGTTACCGAAAAGAAGAATGTTGAATGCATTCCCCTCCGATCCTCCGCTTCATCTTTTCGATCAAAACCATAGGACACCCAATTCTTGGTCGTCACAGACGTAGTCGACTTAGATTCAGCATCAACTGTAGCTGTATCGCTGTTCTTTTTTGATGTCGATATGCATCTTTTGTTTATTGTAGGCAAAACTCTTCGAACAATTGAATTTTGAAGGCGAATTACGGCCGCCATCGCTTTTGATCTCTTTTTAAGAAAGTTTTAGAGGTTAGGTTATGTTGGTTATGTCACCTTTTAAAATGGAGTGGGGATGACGTTTTTAACACAGAATCGATTAATGTAAAAAAAAATTTGTTTTAATTTATTTATGTACATGTAATCATTAAAAATAATAAATAAGATCTACTTCCAAGAAAAAAATAAATAAATAATAAAGGAATTAAAGTCCAACTTTTCTAATCATCAAGTTTTGACATAAGATAATTCATGAATCGGTATTGACTCAGCTCCATATCGTCTTTTTGCTTCGGTAAGAAAAGCGGTTTCCATTTGTCCAACTAAAGCGTCAAAAAACATATTAGCTAACTTGAGATGTAGCGTTGATTTGAAACGAAAATCAATGGAGAAGTCAACGATACTAGATTGCGGATTGCTTTCAATTCCTTCACTGAATTTCCAATACGTTTCTAAATAATCAAATAACCGACCATCTTTGCAAACTGCCCTCACCATGTTAGGTTTGCTCAAAGTAACATCAGAAACATAGCTTTCAAAGATTGGGGGAAATCCAATATGTAACACGGCTTTCAAATTTTCGTCACTTTCGCAAATGATAGTGGAACCTTTACAAAATGGGACAAATGATTTATAATTAGCAACATCTGAGACAACTGTAAACATTTGTTCCATCGAAAATCTAAAATGACATTAAAAAATTAAATGACACAAAATTTTCTTAAACATTTTTTACCCCACTAGTTTCCTTCCATGGTGTTTCTTATGCTCATCAGCTTTACTAAAAAAATACCGTATTTTATCATGTGATTTTCCAATTGATTGTAGTAAAGAACCATTTGTACGCCTTAAAATAAAATTTTTATAAAAAATTAAATAATAAAATTTACACTTACAATATTACATTATGTAACACTCTTGAAGTCGTCATTATTATCGATATAATTATCTAATATTATTTTTTTTACAGGATTTTAGAGGATATTGTAAAATTATAATACAATTGAGGTTATGTTTCAACTTTCTACTTTTTGTGACTTTCCATACATGTTTCATTAACGCAATTTGATTAGTTAACGTTTCGAACTAAAGTTCTTCTTTTTTAAAAGTGTTACACAATATTTTCAACCTTTTTTAGAGATTTTGATTACATGGAATTTGGATTGTTTTCAAATTTTGTTTCGTTGTGTTTATTTCCATTAGATGGAGACACCGAATATATCATTATAAAGTGACGTTAAAAATGTTTACAAATAATAGATTTCTATAGAGACTTTATAATTATGGTTAAATTGAATATAAAAATATATATGTATGTGTTAATTATTTTAAATTAATAATAATCAATAAGATGTTTTAAAATTAACTTGTTTTGTTCTCACTAGATGGCGCGGGGATGCATTTATTATTGTTTTTACTACAGCAGTGATTGTTGTGAGGTTATAAAAATTTCATAAAGATATACTAAAAACCGCCGAATCTCTTTACTATTTCTTTTCTTTATATAAAATGAACGTAAAAAAGAAGGTATTTATCAATATTTTTATTAATTGGCTTGTATAACCTAAAAATCTAACCAATTTGTAGCCCGATGTTCGAAGCTCTTCAGATAGTTCTTCTGAAAGTTCATCAGATTCATCGAGTAGTAGTTCATCATCAAGTGGTTCTGATTCGAGTGCATCATCGAGTGATAGTGACAGTTCCTCCTCTCAAAGTAGTAAATCTCCGTCAGGGCCTGAACACAAAAAGACTCCCATTGCAAAAAATCAAAGAAAAAGCACAGAGAATAATACAAGTACCAACAAGGCAAGTGGAAAAGTGGTTGAGAAAACTATAAATAAAGCAAAACCCGCTCCGGCGCGGCTACAAAAACATTTAAATAATAAAAGCAATAGTAATAATGTTACAACTGTGATTTCTTCAGGAGATGAAGCTGTAAATGGGGCTAATAAAAGCGGGGAGAAGAAAAAACCTGTAGGAAAAAGTGGAAAAACAACCACACTCAGCGGTGTGGTTGTTAATAACAAAAATAATGGAAATAGTAACAATAAGGTGATCTCAACAAAAGTAGGAGGAAATAAAACCCTCCATCAAAAAAATTTGAATAAAAGTAACATTAAAACAAACTCAAATAGTAAAATAAACCAAAATGTTAAAGTTCAAGGAAAATCTAAAGATATCAAATCAAAAAAGCCACCCCCTAAATTTGATCCAAACAAAAAAAAGAGTATTTTTTCACCAGAAAATAGTTCAGAATCGGATAATGAAAAACAGGTGAAACCAAAATCAGTTCCTGCTAAGCCTCGCCCGAAAGCAACTCCAAAAGTAATCGAAAAACCCAAAGAGGTAAAAAAGGAACCAAAAGTTCCTAAATCTAAAGAAATTATAAGTAGTGCTTCTTCGGCGACTTCCACGTCCGAATCAAATTCGTCAAGTAGTGATAGTGACAGTAGTGTTGATTCATCTTCGAGTAAAAAGACCAATTCTGCTAAAAAAGTGAATAACAAAAAATCAATGAGTCCTAAAGATATAAGATCGGATTCGGATGGTGAAACCCTTACAAAACATGTTACAAGGAAATGGACACGGTCTGCTAATGTTAGGAAATCTAAGCATATCGTGGGTAAAGCTTATTCTGATACTGATTCTGATGGGGAAAGTGTAAAAAGATCTCTGAGTCGATCCCCTGTAAAAAGGGCTCCTGTTGTTACTAAAGGAAATTCAAAAAATAAAAAGGTTGATAATAAAATTAAAAGTAATGAAATTATTGAGGAAGAAAGAAAATGTCCAATTGAAGGTTGTGATAGTTTGGGTCATTTAGGAGGAAAACTAGATAAACATTTCACAGTTGATGCATGTCCTTATTACCATAATATGACTCCAAATGAATGTAAAGATTGGGTAAGTTATTTAATTAAATATTTTATTGCTTTTTAATTTATTTAGATTTTAGTTTGACAATAAAATACTTAATTATCTTTTTTTTTTAGCTTATTGACAGAAGAAAACGCGAAGAGCAACGTAAAAAAGTATTAGAACATAGTCATAAGTTTCCCCGGGGTCATTTAACTCAAGAACAACGAAATTACGCGCAAAAAATTAAAGAAATGCGATCGAAATTCATCCCTGACAGTGATGATTTGGTGAAACCACACACAGATAAAAATCGGGAACCAAATTTACACAATTTCGTGCCTGAGTACGATTTGAAATTATTTAAAGAAGCCCAAGCCATATCCAGCGAACAAATCGAAGAAGAACTCAAAACCCAACCCAACACCAAAGGTACTAAATACATTGAAATGGGAAAATTCGAAATGGAAGTTTGGTACCAAAGTCCGTATCCTGAAGATTATGCAAGATTACCAAAATTATATATTTGCGAATACTGTCTTAGATATATGAAATCGAGAACTGTTTTACTTAGACATGTTCATAAATGTGTGTGGAAGCACCCCCCTGGTGAAGAGGTGTATAGAAAAGATAAAATTAGTGTGTGGGAAGTTGATGGGAAGCGATACAAATCGTACTGTCAAAATTTATGTTTGTTGGCAAAGTTTTTTTTGGATCATAAAACGTTGTATTACGATGTGGAACCGTTTCTATTTTACGTAATGACTTTAGTTGATAATGAAGGGTGTCATACTGTTGGATATTTTAGTAAGGTAAGTGTAATTTATATTATTAACCTTTCAATAAACGCGATTTAAATTTCTAATTTAGCACTAGCGCCATCTGTTGTTTGTTAGCTGTTTCAAATGACAATTTTTAAATGAATACAAACATTCGATATTGTTGATAGCAATAATAATAATAATGTTTCTATTGCCAATTGCGGACCCACAGTTTGCCGCGTGTGTTTTGGAAGGGATTAAATTGAATATTTTTTAAAATACTCGGTTTTTTTTATAACTGTCAATTTTGAAATTAAGTGTCACATTGACGTTTAAACTTTCGATATTCAAAAAACAATTCATTTTGCGATATTATAATTATACTTAATATTTTAATTTAATACCTAATTACTTTCATTAGTTCATAGCAGGTTTTTTTACAATAAATTTTATGTATTTAAATCAGATAACGTCATACATTTTTTAGGGACCCTGGGTAATACCAAGTTTAAAAATTTGACCTGTCAAAGCCAATCATAGGAACTTGTCTAAATCATCTGAAATCATCGAGAGTTGGTCCATAGCAATTTCAATTTGTTCAAAATGATTGAATTTAAAAACTTGTCTAAATGATTGAAAATTGGTTCATAACTAGTCAAAGGTGTGAATAAGACTAGAATCTTTTTCGATCTGGGTTGTTGCAATCTTCTTTAAAAGGAAGTTCAAAAGAAGTTTTTCTGATTATTAAATGCTTATTTAACTGAGTAAGCAAAATCAGTTCAGTTAATTCAGAACTGGTTGATAACTATTTCAAGTTAATTCATAAATGATTGTGTTAGTTTTTAGTTGTTTTAAAAATGTAAAGTGTTATAAAAGTAGTATCCCAGTTTTACAAAAGGTGTTAACCGAAGTAATTGAGCACATAAATTAATTTAGCACGCCAGCTGAGTGCACAATACGTCGTAAAGCTCATAGGAAAACCGTTTGATCTCCCCTTAGGCTTTAAAATCGCTTCCCTCCCGTATTCACTTTTACCACGACCACACCCTTTTTACGCCCTTACCCAACGCGTCGCCCGTTGTTGCTTTTGACACATAAAAGCCGGCGGCTTCCTCGTTGCGGGTGCTTTCGTTTTCCCCTTTTTTCGCAATTTCTAGTGTCCGGTCGTCTTTGGACGCGCCGCGACGCAGGGCGTACGCATGACGCGCCCCATACCCTTCGCGACCGCGCCCCGCGGCCACCCCGCGCCCTGCAGTAGTCTGGTCGGATCGTCCTCTTGCAGCAGCGGCTGTCGCGGCCCCGGCCAGACGCTCAGGTCGACGACCCGCGGCGAACCGCGTCGCGACGCCACTGCAGGATAGGCCACACCGACCGTCAGCATCCGCCCCAGCCGAACCCCCGATGTGATTGACCCTGGGCTAGACCAGAACGTAGCTCTCCACACCATCATCCCTTTTCCTACGTCTTCCCAATCTCAATCTAGATAACCAGAAACAAGTTTATTTTTTTAATATCAAATTCTTCAAATTACTTTTTTCAAATTTAAAATATTCTTCAACACCTTTAAATTGACTTCAAACTAGTATATTTCCCATAACTTTGACAAACAATTTAATTTTGTCAGAATATCACGCGTTCTGGCGTGCAATGTGCCCATTAAACAGAAAATATTCAAACCGCCTGAACGCAAAACCAGCCAAGACCTATTAATATCACCATTATGAAATGCAGTTCGACAAATTTCGAATAATTCCATGCGTCTTTTTATTAATGAAAATCGTCCCGGAACGTGCACGCAACCATAATAAACCAGTCGTCGTAAAAAAAGACACGATTAAATTCCGAATCTTTGACCCGGCCGCAATTATCACTTTCTTCTTTTTCGAGTTGATAAACTATTCATTTCATTACATTTTAAAATGTTCTTTTCTTCCTTCGTTGACTCACACCTTTACAAACGTCCTTAAATCGTGTATACAGGATATGACACACGCGTCTTGTTGCGTCATACGAATGACTGGTATCTGACGTCACGAGCCCGTTCATCTGTATTCGCTTGTAACCTGTTAGTGGGTCCTTATCGGCTACCGTCGAAGAAGACAATGCGAATTCCGAAGTTGCGTTCCAAGGGAGCAAAACCGCTTTGCCATAAGTGGTAAAATGTCACGGAAACGGGTGACGCAGTTCGCTGGGTGGCATTCAATGCCGCTGCCATAACCGTATAAAGAGTGAATTAGTGTTATCTTCGAAGATGTTCGAATCAAAATAACATTTATTTCCTGCCACTTGAATAAAACATAACTGTATTTTTTCTCCTCATTCATTGCAAACATCCTTAATCATAAATAGCTCCCATCCATACACCTACAATTTTGATCCGTTTAAAGTGCAATAGAGAGTTCGTTTTCGTGACCTATCACGCATCAGTTTCCTGAATTTAACGGTCCCAAATTCTAGCGTTAACGATTGATGAGACAATTTGGTATTCAAATTTTTCAAGGAGCCGTGTGTTCCACGAATAACCACCGCTGCCGTTCAGACTTAATGATTTCCGGGACGTACCTGTCCAACGGAAGGCCGTGACATAGAAAGATCGTGCACCAGATAGACGGGCCGCCGAAGAAAACCCGTTGGTTAGTTCGGCCGATTCGTTGCTAATCGAGTTCGTGTTATTTTTTTTCAGGAGAAAAACTCCTTCCTCAACTACAACGTGTCCTGCATCTTAACGTTACCGCCGTACCAACGACAGGGCTACGGACGCCTGCTAATCGATTTCAGTAAGTACACCCATCCCCGTTCATATCTTTTATATACCTTAATTAAAGCTAATTACTTTGAGGGGTTTTGCTTCAAAAACCATCTCCAAGTTAAGTAATTGACCGTTCCGGTTATAAAACCCTTTACATTTTATTAAACTCATTCATTATCCTTTTAAAACAATCCAAAACATTTTATGACCACGTATTTGTTTATTGATGAAGTGCGTCTCCCCCTAAAAGAAAATAAAAGTCGACCAAAAAAAATTGAGGGATACAATAAAAGTAGCTTTGGGTGAAAAAGCGCATCGAGTGGAGTCGGGGAGCTAACCCCTGTCGCTAATAATTTCGCTGCCATTAATTTAATTCGAATGGAACGTGTGCGGGGGTGAGTTTGTCGGTGGACAGACGACATTTAAATTCGAAAGGGGGCTGACGACCCCGGACAAAGCGAAACGTGGGTGTTGACTGGCTCTCTCACCCCACAAAAACGATCCCTAACGGCTGTACGCGTGTGCATATACCGCTCAGGTGGTTCCAGTAATTGTTGCAGACCTAATACAAAAAAGGTTACATTTACTTTTATTTATTATATACAGGGTGTGTCAAATGTCTGCAACATAGCCAATAACTTCACCATTTCTGGTTTTAAAGCTGACACTCTATATCATTAAAAGATAAATTAATAAAAATAAATCTTAAGGTGCTCCACCTAAAGGTACTACACCTATATATTTACTAAAAACAAAATTCATTCTGTAATTGTTATAGTCTAATTAAATGATTGATAATAGTTATTTAGTAACTCGTGTGATTACACGACTCGGTCTACGACCTCGTCGTGCAATTCTCCACACTCATACTGTAATTATGTTTCTAGCCCACGTGTGATATAAAGCATTTTATCTACGACTGCTAAAAATTACTAAAAAATCAATTTCTTTAAAAAAGTCTATTTGACATTTATAAAAATATTTTGAAATGATTGTTGTCAATTTTGAATTGTCAGTTTCAACATGTTTACTCATCTGGAATAAGTGTTTTGAAATGTAAAAACATAACAATTAATGTTTATAATAAATAGTATTGTTTCTCTGTAAGTAGATAGCACTTTTTCTTTTGTATTGTTGCTCGTTTCAATAAATTAAGTCTGTTCTGATTAGGTTAAAAATGCGTTACGTAATGAAACCAGTGCGGTAATGAACTTCATTACGTAACTCAAATCACCTCAAATGAGTGCGGTAATGATGACTTATCCAAGCAGTCGTAGATAAAAACAATTTACCAGTGACGTTCTCAACCTCGACTACTAAATAAAAAAATTATTAAACTATGCACGCTTATAAATACTCCAAAACTAAATAGCAATAACTAATAAATTAATATTTTTTGTTTTTTAATTTATATTTGTATCTATAAAACTTGTAGCACATTTATTAAAAACTGTCCACCACTCATCACACTTATCTATACTTTTAATTTCTTCCTCCGATCTAGGCCAAACCATGCCTTTAAATATACATATTATTTTCCAACCTACACCTCTGCTCAAATTTGTTTTTACTTATATTCCTCGAAATTGCCATGACCAGTAATTAACTCTACAGTTTCGGGTTTTAAAAATCTACCAACCCTACCAGCTCTTGGCATAAACTGATAAGTCATTATCACCCCATCTATCTTGCCATTCTTTCAACATAAATTTCTTGATCTTATTTTTTACAGATCTTTTAGAGATCACATTAAAATCAATATGTAAGGCCGGGTTTATACAGACGATTTAGCTGTAAATTTAAATTTAAAAATTTAACTGTAAGAGTTAAATGTATTGAAACCCCATGTATCGTTTATACAAGGCTGTAAGATTTAGCTGTAAACGTAAAGTTGGTTAACTTTTCTAAATTTACAGCGTCACATGCGTAAGACGACCTCAATCAGCTGTATCCAATGATCGACTGGTGTAAATAGCGTGTTCTAACCTAACCTCAACTGTTGTTTATTTCTGTGCCAACAAAATGAGTGAATTCGATGGAAAATTAATTAAAATTGTTGAGAACTACCGATATATTTACATAAACATAAGATATTGGTAGAAAATGACAACACAAAAACCAGTAATATTTTGTTTCTTGAGGTTGCGATTCTGTAAATCTTAAATTCTGTATAAATCAATTTTTTTCTTAAAGCTAAATAAAATCCTTAAATCTATATCTTTAAATTTAAATTTACAGCTAAATTCTGTATAAACCCGGCATAAATCTTCACAGATCGAAGCTTCTTTAGCCAATTGATCCGCTCTTTCATTACCTTTGACTCCAGAGTAACCCTTAATCCTAAAGAAATCTAAGAATCAGTTAACATTCTTTAATCAAATTCCAAGTGTTCCTTTGCAAAATAGATGGTTTTCTCATGTTCTTTAGGCCTTTCAAAACTGAAATGCTGTCACTATACATTTCACATTTACCTATCTTTTCTTTAATTACATATTGAACTGCACTATTCATTGCCAATAAAGCAGCACCAACACCATCATGATTCCTTGCACCGTCCGCAAAAATTTGTATTCCTTTATACAAAACAGTTTTCATTCTTTTAAAATCTCCGTTAGCAATTTAGCCTCTTTCTCTATTCTAGATTACCCATATTTTGCCAAAGAGCAATTTCTTTAAATCCTAAATCTGCTGGTAAAAGCCCTGATAAAACACCAAAAGCATCATTATCAAAAAGTTGACAGCCGAAGATAGCTACCTCAGCTACATCACTAAATTTCGTAATTCTTGAAACTGACATTTTTTTTTGACATTTAATGCTGTCAACGGCGTTATTTCGGCGCCTACTTTGATTGTAATTCGCTAATTTAATATTTTCAGAAAACGCATTTTTTCTTGCATTTATCCTCTATTAAAGTATGCAAAAAGAATATGCATCCTATTTAAAATAACAATGTTGGTTGTCATAGCAACGAAACTAAAAACAATACAAACAATCAAATATCGCCAAAAAAATGAGCCACGATTAATAAAGAAACTTGTATCTGAAACTTCCTTTTTTTTAAACCGCAAATGGCTAGTTATTGATTATATTCTAGACATTTGACACACCCTGTATGTTTTGCTCATTCAAAAACTTCTTGCTGAGGCTACAAACATATCTATATTTATAAAAGATTACTTTATTTCATAAATGAATGTGTCCATATGGAATGCCGAAATTGAAGAAATAAAAAGACTCGCCAGCAGATAAACATTTAGTCTTTCTTGTTCTCTATGTGGATTTCAAGCATAGTTTTATATATATTGTTTTCCCGCGGTTAACTGCAAACCTAACTCATCTTGATTCTTCCTGAAACTGCGCAAAGCTTCTCACTAAGTCCTCTTCTGTCCTTGCCAGCAGATCAATATCATCAGCATAGGCTAAATAATGCGCTGATCTATTCAGTAATGTTGCCCAGGGTTAATACTGATCTTTTTCGCTACTCTCGCCTGGGCTAAATTAAAAAGTTGTTTCAATCCACGACTTATGGGGAAATCCCGATATCATTCTTCTTCAACTTTCACTCTGATTTGGAGCAACATACACATCGAAATAGTGAGAGCAACAATATACGGAATAGTATGCGCCATATACGAGTCAACAATGTTGACTCGTATATGCATAACGGAGGAACCAATAAGAACCAGGACGACATTCAAGAGATGTGGCCAGAGTTGGTTATCTTCGTCTATAGAATGAAAATAGCAAGACAAACAGCCACTACGTCTAGTCGAGCGAAGAAGTTTTTTTCTTTGTATGTTTTTCTGTGTGGTTTAGTATCCTTCGTTCTTCCATGATTTGTATTTCCTTGCATCATCTTTGAGGCTTTGTCTTTGATATACATTGCTGTTTTTATAGCGGGTTTTGAATGAAATTTGCTAATATCAATGTTATTAAGTGTAAATTCTTTATCTTGCACCATTATTATCATCATAAGTTTTTCTGAAAGAAGATACCTTCAGTTCTGCCCAGTGTTGATTTCTTTAAATTTGTTGTTTTATCCAATATAGTAATTATAATAATTAGAACTTTAGAATAAAATAGAAAGAAATTCTTAAAAAAATCGTTACTGTATAATTTGGTTAAAAAATGTTGTAGGAAATTTGGGAAACCCCCAGGCAATTAGAATCCTCGAAGGCCAGCGACCCAAGCGCGGACAAAGCCCTTGCAATCCCCTCGAGTCTCCCCTCTGCAGCCCGCAGCGGCCGTAACCCTGAAAACGAGCGAACGCACCGTACACGCACACTAGTCAGGTGGTGCCGGGGATGGTGAAGGCAGACGAGACGCTCACCCTCGACGACGGGCCGCCGATTGGGGTAGGTCCGGGGCGTCCCGACGGCTTCCCCGCGGCCAGACGGATCCATAGTAGCGGCGGCGGTGGCACCGGTCCCTGACCCGGCGAGACGGCGCGGCGGCCCGATCTGCAAGCTCCCCCGACCACTCGCCATCATCCGAGCCCCCCTTTCATCCCTCGAGCTTATTTAGCCCCGCATCGCTGCAATATTTCGCTTCCTATGTGTGCGCGTCGAAGGCTAGACTTTAGGACCTTCTTATCCCATACCAGACGGTGGTTGATTTCCTGCTGTAAAAACCGAAACGGGGGATTATCCTCCCGCCGTCTCCGACCTGGAGGTAATCTTTCTCCCGATCTTAAATAACGAACAAAAATTTTTCTAGGGATATATTCGACGGTAGGACTAGACACTATTTTATCGTTACTTTGCCAAAAAAGTAAAACTTTGTAAGTAATCTTACAAGTAAATGGACCAAACGTGTTTTCCAAATGGAATGTCGAGATAAGGGTGAAACTAAACCGTTTAAGTTACATTTCTTTAATTGAATTGTTGGATTTCTTAAGTAATCTTGGAATAATTTTTTTTTTGTGAATTGAAAAACATTATGCATCATGTACAAATGTAAACTACGGAATTTGAAATAAAACCGACCGCTCCGCATAGCAGTAATGAATTTTTCACCGTATCCGTAGTAACCGCGCGTACAAATCCATATGAAAGGCGATGCAGCAGTCTGCAACAGTCTGCAATACACACACATACGAAAGTATAGTGTACACGCCCACGGAGATCAGGCCGACGGTTTGGGTTTTGGTGCAGGCGCAGATTCGCAACGACCTCTTGGACCTTCTGCAGATCCCCGATAAACATTAACCAGACGATTCGATCGTGTGTCACCCTATCGATATGTTTATTATAACTTCACCGGCACGGTTTTATTTATCATTATTACGGCTATTACGAAGAATCAGGATAAATCGATATCACGTCAGAAACTCCGACGTCTAACTTGACTCTTACAAAGTGGAATTTACAGCCATTATGTTTCTTAAGGAACACTGAAAATGATGTATGTATACGAAATTCAAAAAGGATAAGAAAATAATATTATTTTATTTTTAATCAGATTTGAAGAGTCGATGTAAAATGAAGAAAGAAAATTTCAGTATCTTTAACATCCTCTCATCTTTTTGCTTAACACGGTGCGTGTGGTGGATTAAAAGGGTGGCGCAGAAGGATGGTGGAGGGCGTCGCGACGCCGGGTTCGTAGGGTGACTACGGCAGAGGAGTGTGGGGAGGGGATATTGACCTCGACGCGATCGATACGACCGTCTGGCGGGACCGACGCCGCCGACGGGCGTACGTAGAGCGTCGCGGCGGCGTCAATGAATGACGTCACGGCGGCGGTTGCGGCGACAGCAGCGGGTGTATCGACATACACCACGCCCTTCCTTTGCGACATTTTCGCCCAACAGAAATAAATACAGGATCGGATTAAAAAAAATGTTTATAACTCGATAGAAAGAAATATCGTTTTAGCAACAACACAGTGGGGTCGCAGAGAGTAGTAATTGTAGCCTAAATAAAGTTCGTACAAAAATGAAAAAGTTTCTCACTATTTGTATGAATGGAAATTTTAAAATTGCGGTGGTGACAATCACTGCCTACAACGTTTTCGTTTTATAGTTTTTAGCCTACGTCGTCGTACTATTCACATTGAAACCGTCTAATGTAAGAGGGGAAATACGTGATGTAGTACTACGTCGACGTACTATGAATACATTTTATGAATAGGTTGAGGACGATTGATTTTTGTCTTTTTTAAAGAACACTTTTTGTTAATGAGTACGTAAAATATTCTTATCGGTATTTGGATCACCCCAGGGAAATTTATGGGCACTTTTCGGCTCTTTACATTACCGGTTCATCGCCTCTTACGCCGCTAAAAGTGAACTGCTCCGGAAATTCCAACAATTTCAAGAGGCTACCCAGAGGTGGCTTTATTCGAGCGCATTGAACTTCATTCTTCGACGTTCTTTAGACTTTACTCTCACATCAAATACTGTAATACGTCAGCAATTAAAGGATACGTTCCAGTTTGTAACCAACATAAATTTTCATAAAACTACTGTTCGTTTAAAAATAACGCAAAATTTTACAATTTACAATGTGGAGAAAATATTTTTATCAAGCATAATATAACTGTTAGGTCAAGGGCTGAAATAATTCAATTTTGTACCAACACTGCGCACGCGATGGTTAAGAAGAAACGATTTGTGAGAAATAAATCGAATAGTTATCATTCTTTGCTAGTAATTTACGAAATGCTTCTAGTTCCTGTTTTAACCCATTTGACTTCCATTTAGAATCAATTTCACAATCACATTTCAGCGAAATTGCGACCTCGGCAATTTGAAGCAATCGATATAACGTTCCTGATATATCTTGGTAGAGATACAAAATTTATTATAATTAGATATTTACCCTCAAACCGTCAAAGTCGTTTCCGGGCTCCAAAGTTGACAATTACGTGTCACCACAAATCGTCAGCTTTGGAAGCTTCTAGTCTAGCTTCTAATCGTTGCTGATATATCTTGGTGGAGATACAAAATCTATTATAAGAAGATATTTATGCTCTAATCATCGAGGTCGCTTTCGGGCGAGGTGCTAGAATTTTCCGAAACTGATGATTTTGTGTTGATGTATCAAATGTAGCGTCTCGGCCGGAAGCAATATTATATATCTTGGTGTTGATACAAAATCTCTTACAAGAAAATATATTATAATAAAAATAAATTTAGTGATGTGAAGATTTGTACATTTTGGAACAAATACTTTTTGGGAACGTGCTACATATTCCCCTAGTTTTAGGTCATCGATAATCTCTGGTCTGAAAACGTGACCCAAACAGAGGAAAATCTCACCCTCCCACAATATATGTTCACTAAGGGTAAATAACCCTTCACACTTTGTCGCCAATTCAACCCCTAAATGAACATCGTGTCGACGTTAGCCCGCATAAACACGCTCCAATTAGTTTCTATTTTATAAATAAATGTATTTTTTATTTAATCTTCGCCTTGTCACATTCCATAACCATCATCATTCACTTCGTCCTTCCATCTTATTTATAAAGCTGTATAATACGAATATTCGATGTAGTACAATCAATCAATCTCATTTGTGGGATTCTTCGTTACAGGCTACCTATTGACCAGGGTTGAAGGAAAAATAGGGTCGCCTGAGAAGCCCCTCAGCGATTTAGGTTTAATCTCGTACAGATCTTACTGGAAAGACGTGCTGCTCAACTACCTGTGTAAGACAGCTGGCACCCAGTTGTCCGTTAAAGATATCAGCCAGGAGATGGCCATTCACTCCTACGACATCGTCTCCACCCTACAAGCCCTCGGCATGATGAAGTATTGGAAGGGAAAGCATATTATATTAAGGAAACAGGACGTGTTGGACGAATATGCGGAACGAGTTAAACGAAGAGGGACGTTACTCAAAGAAGTCGATCCGGAATGTTTGAGATGGACGCCGTTCGTTCCACCTCAACAAAACTCCTCTCAAAAAACGTAAATATAATTTTTGTAATAAAGAGGGTGTGTATTTTGACAATCACATGAATATTGAATTGTTTAATTTTTAAAAATACGAACAATAATAAAATTAAGAAAATAATCTATTTAAATTTAAGATTTTACTTAATTTTTAACATTGTACATAAAATCTTTTAAATTATTTTATGATGCTCAATATCATAAATTGTATGTATTTTAACTTTGTTAATAAGTTGTATATAAAATTGTAAGTATTATACCCAATAAAATCTATTACAATTAATTTTATAGCAATATTCAAATTTCTTTAATACAAATAACTTGTTCGAGAATATTCATCAACAATTCGCGTATGTGAGAGCGTAGGCGCTTGTACGTCATAATTTTCTCCGCTGACGTGGCAAATAAAACATGGAATATGTCCAAGAATAATCGTTAACGCTTAGTCTGGGAATTACAATCTTTTCCACAAACAATGACATTAGAAAATTACCACTTTTTTATAATATCCGAGAATGGATTAAACGGGTTTTGCATTAAATACTTGGCGCCGTATTTTTTTTAATGAATCGGGTCAATACATTACGTACTTTTCAATGAATCAGCCGGATCTTAATCATTTGCTTTATGGCTGTAAATGTGATTCATATATTTTGGATGTGTTTGTAAGTAGAATGTTTTGAAGGTTTGAAATTTTATTATTATTTTCGATAAATTCATTTTAGACTTTTTACAGTAAAGTTATTTTCGAGTAGTACTAATATACATAATTAAAAATACACGAATTATGTGTGATTACTAGTAGATAACAAATTCTTATTGTATCTATATAAATCCTTTTGAATTCCTGGTAAAAATATGTTTGAAGCGTTAGACATTTTTAAAATTATCTAGGAAATCCTTTCATAATGGGAATCGTTACATATGTGCTTATTTATTCTATTATTAAAATTCTTAGATATCCATAAAAATCCTAGATATCCTTAGAAACTTAAAATAATTATCACATTATCCTTGAAGATCCTCATAAAATTCTCTATAAATGGTTGCAAACAATCTTTGAAATTTGAAATGAATATCTTTAAATTTGTCATGAATATTAATTCCACTAAAATTAAACTTATTTGTTTAAGAAATAAAGGAAATTCAATGTTGAATCACTTTTAATATCAGAATAAAAATCCCATATCACATATAGTTCATTTTTTTTTTCTGTAATACCTGTCAAATTGTTGTAAAGTTGGCAAAATTAACAAGGAATTTTGTTTTATCATGTTTTGAAATAGATACGTCACACTGACATTTGAGCTTTCGTTATTCCAAAAGAAAAGGTGCATAAAAAATGTTGTGAGGTGTTTATTTGCCATTTACTTACCTAGAAAAGGTGTTTTGTTCTATTTAATTACTTTTTAGCACGTTTTTACAATAAATATGTACTTCGTTAAAATCGTATTTATCTACAAATTTATTAGTATTTTAACCTCAACTATTTAGTTACTGAAAATGTTACTAAAAATCAGGAAAATAACGTAAATTTTATAAGGGTCCTAGATAATACCAACAGAAACCCTAAAAAATTTACATTGGCAAGTATTATAGAAAAAAAAAAGAAATATATAAAAAAACCGAGCTGTATAATTCCATCAAAAAATAAGTGAGGTTATGTACGTTTAAATTGAAATGTCAGTTTAAAAACGATCATCTCTAACCTTTATTGACTCATATCTACTTGGTAGCAGTATTAAAAGGCATTAAGAGTGTAAGAAATCATTGAAAAATCATTCAGATCCTTTGAGGAGATAAACTGCGATCCAAAGGTCGAGAATTTGATACGATTCACATCAGGGATAAAACGGCATTCAACATCGTCGGCTACACAAGTAAAGACACCCATTAGAACTTTAATACTTCTACGAGCAAACCCTAAAATATTCCCAGGTTTGACAGTGGCGATGTTAATAAACTGGTCCATAGTCTTTGATTATATATAATATGGATTGAGCTAACTGAATATATCTACTAACAAAAATGTGGCTCAAGGTGAATAGACGCAGATGGAAAGCGATAATGTGAAAGTGTAACAAAGATAGACATAAAACGGTACTAAACAGACGGACGCATGCGCACAAAAGTGTCAAACCTCTTCCATTTGACGTTTATCGTTTTGTTGTGTCACAGCCAGTCACACCGTTATGTTTAAAAATGTATTGTTTCGTGTGCAAAGTTCGCGATAATATAGTTTCACATCACCTGTAAGTATTATAAATAATAAGGAAATTTTATTTTATTTTATTTTTTTTTTCTTTTTTCATTTATTAATTTTGTTTTAAATTTACCGCCAAAATTAACGCACGCCCATTATATAGCTTTGTTCGTGGGGACTGCACTACTTGCACTATGCAGTTTAGTGCAGATGTTGTGTGTTCGTTGGGGATAGTGCAGTTTAGTGCAGTTGCACTCATACTGTTCGTTGAGCCAGGTGCAGTGCAATGTAGTGCAGCCGGTGCAAGTTAGTGCAGATTTTGTTGCACCTGCTTTCGATTAAGTTCAATAAGTGCAGTGTAACTAAAGTGGCGGAATATTTGAAAACGTGTTTTGTAATAATTAATATTAATATTAAATATTAAGAAATAAAACCTTATAATAATAATTAATATTTGTTGTATTAGAGAACACAGTATATTCAATCCCAGTGGAGGCAGTAGAAAACTACCCCTACTTTTTTGGAATAATTTAAAAACTACCCTGTCGATTTTGGCGGCATTAAATACACTTATAGTACATTTAAAAATATTAATTATGTGTTTTTTCTCATTTAGGGGTGGCTGGGGTTAACTACCCTCACCACCCCAAATTTTTTTTTTCAAGTACTGCTTATCAATTTTGGTGCAATTTAGCATGTGATTTCTTTATACGTTAAGTGTAGTGCTTTTGAAAGAACTAATAAGGGTTAGTAGTTTGGTATAGAAAATATATTTCGCTAATAATTGAAAAAAATAAAAAATAATAATAATAATTGATGAATACTAAAAAAACGCTACTAAAAAAACATTCTGCGATAATTTTTTTTATAAAAATCTGTTCGTTGGGACCACGGTTTATACACTTTTCTGACCTGCACTAAGTTGACATGACATTGCACTGACTTACACTTCATTGCACTATGACGTCATACGAGTGCCATGTCGTGCAGAGTAGTGCAGTCCCAACGAACAAAGCTTATGTCAGTACGCTTCTATGTCTATCTCGGTTCGATCACCTTGCGCAAGCTATCTCTCTCGTTGGCTCAATCCATATTATATATAATCAAAGTCCATAGTAGACGAAGTCTTTCTTCAGCCCACAGTCTCATCCTATGTTTGGCCATTGCAAATGCCACTGGTAGTGATCAAATCTGATGCCATTAATAGCAGTTTCTCTATATGCAAAGGAGATTTGCCAATCCAGCTACTCGTGGAATTCGTGAAAGTTTACTGATAATTGAAGTCTATCGAGGTTTCCTATACCAGGCTGCCGCTCCGTATGTAATCATAGGTCTAACCATACATATCACTCATAATACTTGTCAAAATTGAAAGACAGTGAAACTCGTAATAACAGCAAATTTTTTGACAACTGATTTAGAAGATATCGTTTCTTTAAAATTTTCCATTCTGTATTTATGTTAATCTTGGTATAATTGACCTCCAATTATAAGTTGTTCAGTTGAGTATGACCACGGGGAGAAAAACGTGGCGTCCTAGAAAATATAAACCGGAAAACACCCATTTCCTCTATTTAATTATTTATTATTTTTTTAATAAATTATTATTTTCTTGAAATAACATCAAAGGGTATTAATTACGTTTTAATTAAGTGAGCAATCAAGGTCTGTTAGCGACGCATCGATCAGCGGGTTTGATATCGTCATCGAACTTTGTCATTTAACTCCACCACCTTCGACGGGGAATGGGATTCAAACTCTAAAACCCGAACAATACGAATCAATCAAGCGCCGCCGAACCTGCTGCAACGGCTGCTTTACTATATACATTTGCGTCGCGACGCACACAGGGCACACTATAGTGCGCGCGTATTGATCCAGCTACGCTGAAGAGAGTTTGGTGGCCAAACCAGGAGAATCCTGCAGGTCGTGTGAATGACACCGCCGGTAAACTTAACGTTGAGATCAAATAATAATTATCATATCATGATGTACACATATAAATATATGAGTTATGCACAATCACATAGTAGTTTAGTATCCGTGTTTTAGATGTTAGATTTTCTTTAAATTAATTAATTAATCGAGATGCACCGATTAATTTAATACCGGCATTTTTAATTTCCCCTCGGCGGGCGTTTCGCGTTTATAATTGCGCGCCCGTCGAGGGGGACTATTAAGCCTACTATCCAGTGCATGACGGTCGGCGAGTTCCTTGACTTCTTCTCGTCGGAGATGTCTGAGCGATGACCTTGTTTGTTACCAAGGCTGCCTTTGTACGTTCCGTTCCATGCTGCGCCGCCGCCACCGCCGCCGTCGGTTGGGGCCCTGGTATTTCTGCCATCTCTTTCTCTTCGTGTCTCTTCCATAGATTTTTCGACAAACCCTTTTTATCATTCTCAATTTTGATGATTCTAAGATTAATCATACCTAATTCGTAATGACTCTATGAATTAAAATTTTTTCTGCATTAATTTGAAAAAGAAAGAAGTAGATGTGAAAGGAAATTGTACTCATTTTTAATAATTGATATTCATCTCGCCGAAAATCACCTCCAATTATTTAAATTCCACTTTAAAATTTACATCACGTATTATAAATCTCTCGCTACCATATTTAAATTATCATAATTATAAGATCCTTGCTAGAGTATAATTTTTGCAAAGAAATGAGTGGTTATGGTTACATTGTAACTTTACAATTGGAGTAAAACAATTTATCCAAATTATATTTTTTCTAAATTTGAGTAAAAAATTTACTAACATGTATAAGTAATTTACCAGGAATGCATGTAGTCCGCGGTGAAACGAACCACACGATGACGCATCATCTCCACGATGACGAACTCGCGTTGTATGGCCGGAAATGCTTTTCGAACCGATTTCTACTGACCTCACTAAACCTAG